ACTAGACTCACAGGCAGCTGTGAGCCCAAACTGCAAAAGCAGCAAATGTTCCTAACTGCTGAGCCATCTCTCTAGTCTGGGGGGGGGGGGCTGTCTTACTGAGAGCATTTATGTGAGGCATGGGGGTTGAACACACAGACCCCAGAGGCAGGAACCTGTCACCATCACACTTTCTGATCTAAGAAGGGCAAAGGTTCCCAGAGTAGGAGGGGCCAAGGGAGAACCGGACAGGAAGAGACCCCCGAAAGCTCAATAGCTGGCACTCGAGAGGCAGAATAGGGGCGGTCAGCAGGGCGTTTGGAGATGGACTGTTGATGACTCTGGGGACTATGGTCAAGCAGAATTGTGAGTTCACAGGAAAAGGACAAGTATCCAGGCTGGGGAGGTGCCGAGGGCTGGCGAGGTGTCCAGGGCTGGGGTGGGGGCGGCTTTCATATGCGTGGATTTCAGTTATGGGTAAGCGGTGGGAGAGTCAGCCAGATGTCATCTTAGCACTTGGGAGGCTGAGGCAGGAGGATGGAGCTGGATTCGGGACAGTCCTTACCGAGCTCTCTTGGTCCCTATGACTTGGCTTGTGATCTTCTTCAGAACTCCTATTCATCCTATGAAACCCAGTTGAGCCGGGTGCCTCCTAGGATAACCCTTTCTGATTGGCTGGTTCCAGTCATGTGCTTTCATAGCCATGCGGTATGCACGGGAACACATTCACTGTGTATTTTGCTTTGTGGGAAAGTGCATGTAGTATGGGTGTGTATGGAAAACAGAAGTCAATTCTGGCTGTCATGTCTACTTTTGTTTGTTTGTTTTTAGACAGGGCTTGGGGCCTCACTGACCAGGCTAGGCTGGCTGACCGTCAAGTGCCAGGAATCCACCTGCCTCTGACACACTGTGAGCATGAACCAACATGAATCCATGTCTGGTTTTTGCCTGACTTCTAGGAATTGCACTCAGGGCTTCCTTCCCGTGTGGCAAGCACTTTGCCGGCTGAGCCACCAATCGCCCTTGCTCCTGCCATCCTGAGTTTTGGGACAAAGCTTTGTTATGTAGCCCAGACTGGCCGGAGACTTGGGACAATCCCCCTGCCTCAAGCCTTCATAGTGCTGGAATTACAGGCAAGTGCCACCACGCTGTCTTGCAGTAGATGCGGGGCTGAGGCTCGGCCTTGACGTATGAATTCTCTGAAGGTAGGACAGGGTCCCCCTAGGTAGTGGCTCAACCTTTGTGCTCTGTGGATGTTGCACAAAAGGGAGCGAGGATTATCATCATCTGCAATGTGACTTTAGGGAGGTGATGTCATCGCTGAGATTTTAAAATCTGTTTTATTTTTAAGTTACCTTTTAGGAATTTATGTTTTGGTGCTGTTGGGGGAGGACTACAGGGCCTTGTTCAGGCTAGGCAAACACACTACAGCCGAGCCATGGCCCCCAGTATCTCTAAAGTAACTGTAACTCAAGTTAGTTACATATTCCCCTGCCCTGCGCCAAGGCACTCAGTATTCACTCTCTCCACGCTTATAGTGCTCAACTCCCCATTTTATGGAGGGCAGAAACTGAGGCACAGGGCGGGGGGAGGAGGTGACAGGGACGGCCGGACAACAATGATTGACGTGTTCAAGTTCGCAGCCAGACCGGGGATTTGGCGCCCAGCCCAACTAAGAAAGCTGTAGGAATCCAAAGGGGGAACCATGAAACAGCCTTGCAAACTGTAGGCGCCTGGGGTAGGAGGGTCCGCGGTGAAGCGTGGCAGGACGTAGGGGTGAGAGGAGAGAAAGGGTTAGGTTTCAAGAGGATGGGCTTCTGGAGAGAGGCCGTTTGGAGCGACAGGTTCGGGGTGACTCGGTGGCACCCGGGCTGGAGATCTCCGGGTGAGGCCCGCCCCCTACCTGCCCCACCCCCAGTCCTGCCAGCGGCGGCGACGGCCCCTTTAAGGGCGATCGAGGCGCCCCCTGGCGGCGGAACGTGGACAGCGCAGCGCGCGGCCGGAGCTGGAGCTGGAGCCGGAGCCCGGAGCCCGGAGCGGAGCCGGAGCGGAGCCGGGGCGGAGCGGGGCCGATCGGGCCGAGCCAGCAGCCGAGCTGGGGGCGCGGGCGGGCGGTATGTACCGGGCCCGGGCGGCGCGGGCGGGGCCGGAGCCCGGCAGCCCGGGGCGCTTTGGGATCCTTAGCACCGGGCAGCTCCGGGATCTGCTTCAAGATGAACCCAAGCTGGACCGGATCGTGCGGCTCAGCAGGAAGGTAACGCGGGGGGCTCGGGCAAGAGGAGGGTGTTGGGGGGTGGAAAGGACGGGCCGCGGCCTGCGGGGACCCGGAGACCCAGCCAGCGGAGGCCACCCCCCCTGGAGCTGCCAGGCCTCGGGATCATGGGAGCCTGGCACGTCCGAGTGGGCCCCGCGGAGCCGCCCCCGGGGGATGGGGGGCGCCCCAATCCTGCCTGGGGCGGGTGGTGCGGGAGGGGGCGCCTGGGGATGCACCCGTGCACCCCGGGATGGCCGCGAGGCGTGCCCTCCCGAGGATGCTCCGGGGAGGTGTGTTCTGGGGGGCGGGAGGTGGAGGGTGAGCTGTGTTGTTGGGGGCCCTGGCTCAGCACACCCACGTTCTTTAGGGCCAGAAAGGGGAGGCGCCTTGCTTGGGGAAGAGCTGAAGGCCTGCTTGACACCTGGGGCGGGAGGATAGCTGGGAAGGGGCGTTATGCTTTAGACGGGGAGGGGGCTTTGTGTCTGCCATTGGGGATAGGTCTATGAATACAGAGGCTTGTATTCCGTAGGCCACCATAAGAGAAAGTTGTATATTTTACGGGAGACATAGGCCCGGGCTGGTTGTCTGCTGGGAGGGGGGGCGCAGAAAGAGAAAGTGTGGTAGAAGGGGCCAGCCGAGGAGGGGCATGTGCACGGGTCAGGGGACAGATGGAGGGGAGTGTGCTCTCCAGGGGCGGGGAGCCAGGCTTGGCCCTCCTAGAAACAGGCTCAAAAAGCCTTCTTCAGGGCCCCAGCGCTGCCCTCTGCGAGGCGAGCAGCTAGCCCTTGCAGGGGACCACAGAAGCAAAGGGGGTGTGTGTTGTATTCGCGGGGGTGTGTGGGGTTCCACTAGAGGGCCGACGAGGGGGTTTGAGAGATGAGAGGGCGACCTGACAGGGAGGGGTGCTGGGGAGGCACAGGGTGAAAACATCACTCCCCAAAGAGTCAGAACAGAGGGTGGGAATGTTTTCCACACAAACACCTGAGGAGGAAGCGAGACAAAGGCCTGGAACGGGAGGCAAGCTGTCCAAGCATGGAAAATGGGACAGAGAGGGGAGGGGTAGTCCACGGGGACCTGAGCAGACATATTAATTGAAAAATTAAAAATTAACTAACATTTGTAGAGGCCTTTATAGTTCCGTTCACTTGGGTCTCACAACAACCCGGTAAGAGAGGTGGTTTTTGTTTTGTTTTTGTTTTGTTTCTAATCGTAGAAGAAACTGGGGCCCAAAGAGAGGACGCCAGGCACAGCCTGGAACAGGCCCACCCGGGCCCCTCCACCTGTTGGTGGCCCGCAGGCTGGGGACGCCCCGGTGCCTTTGGCTAGGCCTGTGGTGGGTGCTGTGCTGCAGTCGACTCCAGGTGACCCTGGGCAGCCTGAGCCCAGGCCCCTTAGCTCTCGTGCCCTGGCAGTTCCAGGGTCTGCAGCTGGAGCGCGATGCCTGCTTGGCCTCCAACTACGCGCTGGCCAAGGAGAACCTGGCCTTGCGGCCCCGCCTGGAGATGGGCCGGACTGCCCTGGCCATCAAGTACCAAGAGCTTCGAGAGGTGGCTGAGAACTGCGCAGACAAACTGCAGAGACTGGGTGAGGGGAGGCCCAGGAGAGCCGCCAGGGGTGGGGTTGGCCTTGACTTGGGCTCCGGGTGGGACTGGGGCACAGCTACTCCTGGACAAAACCTGAAGGGAGCTGTTTTGGCCTCCTGGGAAGTGAGTTGTGAGGTGTGGAGGAGCAGGCTCGGAAGGCCGGGCTGGGTCCCCAAAGCCTGTAACCGCAGGACTTGGGAGGCAGGATCACAAAACTTGTGTCAGTCCTGGGCTCCGTGGTGAGTTCTGGACCATACTCTTGAGGGGAGACCCTGCCTCAGAAACAAAAATAGCTGTGTGGAGGGCCTGATGGAGCCAGGAGGTGGTGGCACACGTCTTTAGCCCCAGCACCTGGGAGGCAGAGGCGGGGGGTCTCTGTGAGTTCGAGGCCAGCCTGGTCTGCAGAGCGAGTTTCAGGACAGCCAGGGATACACAGTGAAACTCTGTCTTGAAAGACCAAAAAAGAAAGAGAGGAAGGAAGGAAGGAAGGAAGGAAGGAAGGAAGGAAGGAAGGAAGGAAGGGAAAAGAAAAGGGAGGAGGAAGTGGCCCTGGGTAGTAGAAGGGGCTAGCCTGGGCATGGAGGACTATGCCTATCGTCCCACCACCTGGGAAGGAGACACAGGAGGATCAGTAGTTCAAGGCCAAACTTGGCTACAGAGTGAGTTTGAGGCCACCCTGGGCTACCTGTGACCATACCTAAAAAAAAAAAAATCACGGCTGGTGACATGGTTCATTGAGTAACGACACCCGGTAGGAAGCTTGAGTTTGATCCCTGGGACCTACATGGTAGGAGAAACCCAGCTCACATAGATTGTCCTCTGACCTCCACAACTATGCAGTGGCGTGAGCATGCCCACACGTAACACACAAGAACACAAAGTAGAAATTAAATAGTTTTTAAAGACCCAGCATCAAAACAAACAGAAAAGGAGAAAGGGGGCTGGGAGGCGCCTCAGTGCTTACACTAGAGCACTGTCCGCTGTTCCAGAAGACCTGGGCTCAGGTCCCACCACCCGAGTGGCAGTCACAGCCACCTGTAATTCCAGGTCCAGGGGATCCAGCGGTACCCTCTGCTCTCCATGGGCACCCAGCATTCACATGGTACACACACACGGGCAGGCAAAACAAACATGCACACTAAATAAAAGTTTTTTTAAAAAAGAAGAAAAGGAAAACCAGGACGTAAACTTGAAGCCCGGACTGCCCCTGTGGTCAGTCTCAGCTTTATTTTATTTTATTTTATTTTATTCCAGGTTACAGGGCTGCCTCATGTCTGACCTAACTGCTGGGTCGGGCGGTGGTAGCCTTGGTGTGGTAGTGAGGGGGTATCTGTCCACAAACACTCAGTAGTGACCATGTTATTGAAGAAACTGAGCAAACCATGGTGGTGCACGATTACTACCCTGCACTCAGGAGACTGGGGAGTACCATGCTTGGCAGGCTAGCCTGGGCTACACACGAAACCTTTCTCAAATGATGATGATGGTGATGGCCGGGGAGATGGCTCAGGGGTTGGAAAGGACTGGAGTTTGATTCCCAGCACCCAACTTGGACAGCTCACAGACTCCAGATCCTGGGGGTAGGGGGACCTGACAACCTCTGGCCTCTTCAGGGACCTGAACTCAGTCAAGAGCGTGTACTCATACACAAACATATACTCGTAATTACAAATAAAATCTTGTTAAAGAGAAAAAGAAACCACAGTATAAAAACAAGCACAGAAGATAAGCCAAACTTGTTTGTGCGTGCCTATAATCGCAGCACTTTAAGGGCTAGAGACAGGAGGAGCAGGGGTTCGAGGCTAGCCTGGGCTACACAGCCCAGAGTTCAAGGATCGAGGCTGTAAGAGACCCTGTCTCAAACGAAACAACAAGGCCAGTTGAGGATTTGGAGGCCACCGAGGCGGGAACTGTAGTCACCTGCGGTCAGTGGGAGTCAGAGTCCCTGTCTGGTCTGTCCCAGAGGAGAGCATGCGTCGCTGGAGCCCCCAATGTGCGCTGGGCTGGCTGCAGGCTGAACTGGAAGAGGCTGAGCAGGAGGCCGAGGTGAGGGGTAGAGGCGGCTGGGCCCAGGTGCACAGGGAGGGAGGCCCATCCTGTCCCTCTGGGGTTGTCGTTTCCTCGGACACTCGGGAGCGTCTCTGAGAAGGCCGCCACGATTGCCTACAGAACTTTCCGGAGCCACGGCAGCGTTTGACGTCCTAGGGGAAGGATGTCCACAGCGGAGGGCAGGGTCGGCTGAGGAGTAAGGCCCCGCTTCTCTGGGCTGGGTGGGCAGCGGACACTGAGCTGAAGGGCCTGGGAGCGCCCTTTCTCGTGGAGAGAGAGAGAGAGAGAGAGGGTGGACGTCGTCGTCTGCCCTGCCTGGGTGAGCCGGAGGCTGGGCCAGGCTGGAAGCTCGGGGCCTCTGCTGGCTGGGCACCGTGGGGGAGGAGGGCGCCAGCCCCTGGCCGGATCGCCTCCCCCCAACTGTCCCTTTCCCTCCCGGACACCGCCAGGTCCAGATGGAGCAGCTGCTGCTGGGGGAGCAGAGCCTGGAGGCCTTCCTGCCAGCCTTCCAGAGGGGCCGCGCCCTGGCCCACCTGAGGCGGACCCAGGCCGAGAAACTCCAGGAAGTGCTGAGGCGTCGGGAGCGCTCTGCCCAGCCGGCCCCCGCTACCGCCGCCGCCGCCGCCGCGGACGCCCCCAAACCCTTCCCTGCCGCTGCCGTGCTGCCCACGGGGGCCGCCCGGGGACCACCCCCCCGCCGCGCCCCGGAGCCTGCCCCCCTTGGACTCCCGCCCAGTGCCCCCGCTGAAGGGCTCTCCCGGGTGCCCCTTTGGCCCAGCCCCTCTGCTGAGCCCGCGACCCTCTCAGCCTGAGCCCCCCCATCGGTAGGAGCCAGGGTGCGGCCTCCCAGCGGGGGGTCCAGACAAACTTGGTTCGTGGCTCCTCCCCTCCCCCACTGCCCGGGTGGGGGGAGGGGCAGGCCCCTCCCCCCCGGCCTCAGGCAGGCCCCGGGCCCTGGAGGCTGAGCTGGGGAAGAGGGGCTTCCCGAAGAGGCCCGTAGAGGGCTGGGGGTGGGGTGGGCAGGGTGCTGGACCTCGGTCGCCAAGGAAACTCTGCCTTTTTATTTTATTTTATTATTTTTGTCTCCCCGGTCCTCCAGGGTGCCAAGCCAGGTCTCCAAATGAAAAGAACTTTATGGGGGCCTGCTTCCCCCAGGGAGGTCTTGCTTGGGGGGGGCGGTGGCCTGTGGTCGCACCCTGCCACATGACTGGGCTCGAACTTATTGGCCAAGGCTTACTGGATTGTTCTCCTCACATCCTGAGCTAACCCTTTCCGCATTTCGGGGGCCCTCCGCCTAGGAGCCAGGTGGTCGTGCCCCAGCTGCGGGCCCAGGGACACTCCCAAGGGCCTTGCGGCTCGCCCTGGGGCGAGGGAGGACAGAGGCTTCTCACCTGCACAGGTGAGAGCCGGCCGCCCCCCAGGAAAGACCATTCTGTATTTTTCTGTCCCTGTCTCCTTAGAATGGAAGCTTTTTGAGGGCAGGTCCTTGTCTTTGTATGTTCTGTCCCCAGCCCCGCCTCCTAGGGGCTGTCAATAAATGTGCTGATGGATGACGGTGATGATGCCCCGCCTCCTCTCTGCCCCCCAGCCAGCCTGCACATCTGCTCAGGCTCAACCTCCCGCGGAGCTGCCCTGCCCGCCCAGCGCTCGACTGACCTGCAGGGCCAACCGAAGCCTCCTCCGAGGGGCTGCCTGGTTTCCAAGGAGTCTTTTCAGCCTTACTTCCCAGCCCGGCCAGAAGTGACGCTGACCACTCCACTGTCACCCGCAGCCTCCCCGGGCCGCACCTTCTCCTCCAGGATGGCTTGTCAGCTCATCGGGATGGCAGCGCACCTTCTCCCGCCTCCGCTGGTGACCCACCCCTTCGATGGGTGACGGAGGAGGGCTCTATTAGCAATGCAGGCGTCTGTCCCCCACCAGGGAGACATTCAGTGGCCAGTTTGGCTGCTGGATGTGGGGCGAGAACACTGGCGAGCGGAACGTCGGGGAGAAGGGGCATAATGATGACTCCACTCAGAACGCGGGAGGCAGAAGCAGGAAGATCGGAAGTTCGAGGCTGGGAGCATAGCAGAGTTGGAAGAGCGCTCGTGTTTTATGCAGGAAGCCCTGGGTTCGACCCCTAGCACCCCCTAAACCAGGCAGGCATGTTGGGTCACACCTGTAATCTAGCACCTAGGAGTTGGAGGCTGAGAGATCAGGAATTCAAGGTCATCCTCCACGCATAGTGAGTCTGAGGCTGGCTGGGCTGCGTTGTCTCAACAAACAAACCCCACAAAACCGCATTCAAGGCCGGCCTAAGCAACACATAAAGTCCAAACTGAATACATGATGAGACCCTATCTTTGCAATAATGCAGCAGTAGCATTTCTGGGGTCGACCAGGGGTCAAGTCTAAGCACAGGAAATGTGGCCAAGAGGCATAGAAACACCTACAAGCAAGAGTGGTCTTGTCAAAAGCACTGGAGAAGCCAGGCACGCTGCCTCTTTCCCATAATCCTAGCACTTGGGTGGCGGAGGCAGCAGGTTCACCTTGTGTTTGAATCTAGCCTGGGGTGGTGAGTTCTGGGCCACTCCAAGCTACAGGGTGAGATTTTCTTTTTTTGTGACAGGAAACTCACATTTTAGAAAACTCTGGCCTCTAACTCACAGAGACCGCCTGCCTCTGCCTCTGGAATGCTGGGATTAAAGGCGTGCGCCACACCTGGTTTAGAGTGAGACTTTGTCTCAAAGAAGAGTGTAGTCTTGTTGACGTTTACATGGCTAGTGTGGTCTTTGTTCCTGTTACTAGAACTAGAATCATCGAGAATGTGGGTGTTGAGTTAACTCTCTTTTCACTGAGGTTTGTAGAATAAAAGGGACCCCCCCCCACTGGCATCTTTGGAGTATAAAAGATGAGAGGGTGACTTGGGACTAAGGTCTTAAGAAAAGTGTGCAGATGCAGGTGTGTGGTGTTCAGCCTATTCCTTCTTCTTCTCCTCCTCCTCCTCCTCCATGTAGTATTCTGTCTGCATGTATGCCTACAGTCCAGAAGAGGGCGCCAGATCACACTACAGATGGTTGTGAGCCACCATGTGGTTGTTGGGAATTTAACTCAGGACCTTTGGAAGAACAGCCAGTGCTCTTAACCTCTGAGCCATCTCTCTGGCCCCCAAGGACTACTTCAAGTGTGGCCCCAGGGATAGAGCCAAGGACAGTGGGAGGAGAATTTGGAGAACATGTGGGGGTTCCTCATGGGGGCTCTCAGTGGCTGTTCCTGAAGACAGGATCCCTGCTGATGTGTGAGAAAAGCTAGACTTGCTTGATCTTTAGAATGTCACCCGACAGCTGGGGCGCCTGGTGGGTCGGAACCTTAGTGCCATTTAAGCTCTATCAGCGGCCCCCAGAAGAGTGCGGGGAAGGCACCCTGGGAGCAGGCTGGGTGCTCACATCCTACACGATGTCCCATCCCTGGACCAACATTCCAGGCAGTTTTGTTTAGGAGTATAACCAAAGAGAGCAAGAGGCAGGCGTGGTGAGGCACGCCTTTGATCTCACCTCTTAGGAGGCAGAGGCAGGAGGATCTCTGTGAGGGGGAGAGCTAAGGCTGGGCATGGCTACCTCTTACCCTTATCTTTGAGGAGTAGTTTCTAGAAGGGGTCAGTGTTCAGGACTGACCTCAGCCCGCCTTCCCTAGGACAGGCGGGAAGTCCAGAAAGAGCCAACCAGGTTGAGACTGTGGCTCCAGTGGTGGCGTGACCACCTCACATGCATGAAGCCTGGGTTCCACCCCCAGCACCCCATAAACCAGGTGTGGCAGTGCATGTCTGTAATCCCAGTACTTAGGAGCTGGAGGCCTGAGGGTCAGAAGTTCAATGTCATTCATGACTACAAAAGAAGTCTAAAACCAGCCTGAGGGATGCATTACCATGGGAACCAGATGGGTCCTTCAGGTTGCCTCCCAGTGAGGTGAGGTGTGGTGGCCCATACTTGTAATCTAATCCCGGTACTTGGGAGGCAGGAGCAGGCAGATCTCTATGAGTTCAAGGCCAGCCTGGTCTACAAAGTGAGTTCCAGACCAGACAGGACTACATAGTCTCAAAAAACAAAGCAAAGAGTCCCATGTCCTTGACTAGCAGGTACATGTATTTCTGAAGATTCCAGTCATCATTACTCTTGGTTTTTTTTTGTTTTTGTTTTGTTTTGTTTTGTTTTGTTTTTTCGAGACAGGGTTTCTCTGTGGCTTTGGAGGCTGTCCTGGAACTTACTCTTGTAGACCAGGTTGGCCTCAAACTCACAGAGATCCGCCTGCCTCTGCATCCCGAGTGCTGGGATTAAAGGCGTGCACCACCACCGCCCGGCTTCTACTGAACTATCTTGCCAACCCTTATTGGGGACTTTTTTGTTGTTTTTGTTTTTTCTTTTTTTTTTTAGATTTATCTATTACATATACAGTGTTTTGCCTACATGCCAGAAGAGAGCACCAGATTAAATTGTAGATGATTGTGAGTCACCATGTGGTTGTTGGGAATTGAACTCATGACCTCTGGAAGACCAGTCAGTGCTCTTAACCTCTGAGCCATCTCTCCAGCCCCCTGTTTTTGTTTTTTCTTTTTCTTTTTTTTCTTTTTTTTTTTTTTTTGGTTTTTCGAGACAGGGTTTCTCTGTGGCTTTGGAGGCTGTCCTGGAACTCGCTCGGTAGTCCAGGCTGGTCTCGAACTCACAGAGATCCACCTGCCTCTGCCTCCCGAGTGCTGGGATTAAAGGCGTGCGCCACCAACGCCCGGCTTCTGTTTTTGTTTTTTCGAGACAGGTTTCTCTGTGGCTTTGGAGGCTGTCCTGGAACTCACTCAGTATATCAGGCTGGTCTCAAACTCGAAGAGATCTGCCTGTCTCTGCCTCCCGAGTGCTAGGATTAAAGGTGTATGGCACGACACTTTTTTTTTTTAGATTATTATTCATTTATTTGCATGTGTCTGTGAGTGTGTGTATCGGGAGTGTGTGTGTGTGTGTGTGTTGGGAGGCTGTGTCTGTGAGTGTGTGTATTGGGAGGGTGCGTGTGTGTGTGTGTGTGTGTGTGTGTGTGTGTGTGTGTGTGTGTGTATTGGGCGGTGTGTGCTCCTAAGCGTGTGGAAGCCAGAAGAGCATCCAGTGTCCTTTTCCATTAGCCTCCCTCTTCTTCTGAGACGCAGTCTCTCCCTGAAGCTGGGATTCCCGTTTTCTCAGCTATGGAGCTCTGGCAGTCCTCAGTCTCTGCCCTCCAACTCTGCAGAGTTGCGGTTTCAGGGGTGTGTGAGGTGCACGGCTTATTACCTAGATACGTGATCTGAACTCCACCCCCAGGCTCTTAACCACTGAGGTGCTCTTAACCACTGAGCCTCCTTTCCTTCCCAGGTCTGGGTTTACAAAACAAAACAGAGCAACAGCAACAAAAACCAAGGTCTCTAGACTGCTTACTATGTGGATGGCCAGACAGAAAGTTGTGTTAGTTGAAGACTCATTATTTATGCGTCTCTGTGTGTGTGCACCTGTTTGTGTGTGAGCCTTTGGATGCCAGAAGAGGGCATCTAAGCCCTCAGAGCAGTGGGTACAGAGAATTGAATCAGGTTCTCCGGAGAGCAGGAAACTCAACTGCTGAGCCATGTCTCCAGCAGCAAATCAGTTTGTTTAACTATGTCTATGGGGGGGGCTGGGGAGCTGGGCGCATGCCTGCCTGCTTGCTCCTGCTGGTGCATTCATTTGCTGGAGCCAGATCTGCCCAGCACAAACTCAGTTTCTCAGGCTTGGTGAGAATGTACCCGGTAATCCAAGCTGCTTGGGATGATTCTGTCCCAGAAAATCTTATACCATGGCTTTGTTTGTGAAGCACCAGGTTTTATATATTTTCCCCAGAATTCCTTATTTTTCAAGTAGGAAACATGTTGGCATTAAGTAACTTCTCTTCTTTAGATAGGTTCTCACTATGGAGACCAATCTGCTTGAATTCAGAGAGATACACCTGCCTCTGCCTTGCAAGTGCTTGGATTAAAGGCGTGAGCCACTATATCCTAAGTGAACAAGGCACCAACCAGAGTTCACCAAGTCAAGAAGTTGCCAACCAGGGTCGGGCGTTGGTGGCGCACGCCTTTAATCCCAGCACTCGGGAGGCATAGGCAGGTGGATCTCTGTTGAGTTCGAGGCCAGCCTGGTCTACAGAGCGAGTTCCAGGACAGCCTCCAAAGCCACAGAGAAACCCTGTCTCGAAAAAAACCAAAAAAAAAAAAAAAAAAAAAGAATAGACACCCCAAGGCCAGCCTAAGCTACATAGAAATATACTGTCCCCCACAAATGATAACAAAAAACCACGTCTCCTAGCTAAAGTCTCAGGAGCTGAGACTCTTATGTATGTAACTCCAAAGTTGATAGAAACATTGCCTAGAATTTCCTATCCAGGGCTTGGGTATGGCTCAGTGGTAGAGCATCTTCCTAGGACCCCCGTGAGGGGCTGGGGTGTGGCTCAGTGGTAGAGCCCCTGCCTAGAATCCCCCAGTGAGGGGCTGGGGTGTGGCTCAGTGGTAGAGCACCTGCCTAGAATCCCCCAGTGAGGGGCTGGGGTGTGGCTCAGTGGTACAGCACCTGCCTAGAATCCCCCAGTGAGGGGCTGGGGTGTGGCTCAGTGGTAGAGCACCTGCCTAGAATCCCCCAGTGAGGGGCTGGGGTGTGGCTCAGTGGTACAGCACCTGCCTAGAATCCCCCAGTGAGGGGCTGGGGTGTGGCTCAGTGGTAGAGCACCTGCCTAGAATCCCCTAGTGAGGGGCTGGGGTGTGGCTCAGTGGGAAAGTACTTGCCTGGCATGTGCAAATCCTGGGTTCTATCCCAGCATTGGAAAACAATGAAGGTTTATATTATCTTTCTGTATAAAACAAGGGTTATTAAAAACGTATGTATTTGTGTATATGTGTATTTGCACATGAGTGGAGGTCAGAGGACAGCGAGTGGGAGTTAGTTCTTTCTCCTGTAGATCCTGGGAATCAGAAGCGACTCAGGATGCCAGGTTTGGTGTTAAGTACCTTCACTGGTGAGCCATCCCATTGGTCCAGGCATGGGTTATCATATCAAACTCAAATCCTTGCAGGGGTCAGTAAGGTGATGAGGTAAAGTAGTCTGTTTCTCTGAGAAATGCTTTTGCCTCCTTTCGTTCAGCTTTTCTTTATATGAGGTTATTTTGAGACACTGTCTCATGTGTAGGCCAAGCAGGCCTGAAGCTCTTTATCCTCTTTCTTTCTTTGATTTTTCAAGACAGGGTTTCTCTATGTAGCCCTGGCTGTCCTGGAACTCACTCTATAGATGACGCTCACCTCAAAAACACAGAGGTCTGCCTGTTTCTGTCTCCTGGATACTGAGATTAAAGGTATGTGCCACCACCACCTGGCCATTCTTTTTCTTTTTAAAGATTTATTTTATTTCTTCTCTCTATATTTTTTTTCCTTTTAAACACAAGCCCCAGCAGGCTATGGGGCTCTATCCTGCTTGTTTTTTTTTTTTTTTGCCTTTTTTTTTTTTAACATGCATTAGTGTTTTGCCTGCATGTATGTCTTTTTTTTTTTTTTTTGGTTTTTCAAGACAGGGTTTCTTTGTGGCTTTGGAGGCTGTCCTGGAACTAGCTCTTGTAGACCAGGCTGGCCTCGAACTCACAGAGATCTGCCTGCCTCTGCCTCCCAAGTGCTGGGATTAAAGGCGTGCGCCACCAACGCCCAGCGCATGTATGTCTTTGTGAGGGTATTGGATCCCCTGGAACTTAAAGAAGTTGTGAGCGGTCACATGGGTGCTTGGAATTGAATCCAGGTCATTGGGAAGAACAGACAGTGTTCTTAATTGCTGAGTCATCTCCCCAGCCCAAGAACAAGAGTTTTTAATTTTTAATTTTACTTTTTGCTTAACAGGGTTTCTCTGTGTAGTCCTGGCTATCCTGGAACTCACTTTTAGATCAGGCTGGCATCAAACTCACAGAGATCCACCTACCTTTGCCTCCAGGGCGCTGAGATTAAAGGCATGTGCTAATAGTTTTATGTTTGTGTGTCTGTTAAGTCCATGTGTGAGTGCAGTACCCACAGAAACCAGAAGAGGGTCTTGGATTCTTTGAAGCTGGACGGCCATCGTGAGCCCCCAGACATGGGTGCTGGGAATGGAACTTGGTCCTCTGTAAGAGCAGTACATGTTCTTAACTGCAGAACCAAGCTCCAAGCTCTCTATCCTGCCTGCATTTGTTGTTGCTATGGTTTGAGGAAGGGTCTGAGTGCGTAGCCCTGGCTGGCCTCAGATTCAGAGATCAGCCTGCTCCTGCCTCCTGAATGCCAGGACTAAAGGCTACCCCACTGCATCTGGGGAAGACCTTACCCTTCTCTCCCCACTTGTGTGCTGGACGTGCAGACAGCACCACCATTTCTGATGCCACGTTAGGCACGGAATCCAGGGCTTCCAGTGTGCTCCATTTCTGGTGCTCACTCTGGTTTAACACAGAGAGGGGCACTACTCACCAAGTCAGAGGCTATGCAGCACCCTAAGTTACAGGTTGGATCCAAGAGCTAACCTACCTGGGGGTTGGCACCTGGTTAGGCAGGTGCTCCCTCTGATGTCATCCACAGGCACGACTTTATCCCAGCAAAGCTGAACCAGAGCACTCAGTCTGAGGTTAGGTAACTTCCCTTCATTTATTTGGAGGCAGGTCCACGTAGCCTAGGCTGGCCTTAAACTCTGTCTCAGGGTGACACTGAACTTCGGGTCATCACACCATGCTCAGGGTCCGCAGTGCTGCAGTTGGAACCCAGCGCTTTGTGAATGCCACACAAGCCCTCTACCAACGGAGCTACATTCCCAGTCTTCCCCATCCTCATCCACAAGACGATGACCACGAGGCCTGTGACTCGCCAACGTTCCTTTTCTCTCTTCAAGAAGTCTGGCGACCTCCTAGGGAACACAGGTTCAAGATACAGGATATCTTGTTTCCCAAAATGAGTGTTGGTGGCCATTCCTGTGGTGCTGCAGGGAATCTCCTGAGTCACTGGTGAGCCAGAGAACTAGCTCCCTGGCCCAGAGCTACACATCTCTTTTTATTACATTTATTTATTTTGTCTGCGTGTGAAGTATCCAGGTGCGCATGCGCACACATGCACACGCCATTACATGGAGTTTAGAAGAGAACTTAGGAGTTACTTTTCTCCTTCTACCATATAGGTCCTGGGGTAGAACAAGACAAAGTCAGTCATTCATAGGTGCATGCCATCCCCACCCTGGGTTCCTGTACTTACCATGTCCTAGCCCACTCCCAATGTGAGTCAGAAGTAAGGGGACCTCATGACTACTGTAGCTCTGACAACAAGTTATTGCTGGCTGCTTGGTGCAAGAAAACCAAAAAACCAGAAATCTAAACCTGTCCCCTAGTGCTAAGCAGGTGGAGGCAGGAAGCTGGGTGTGGCAGCATAAATCTTTAATTCCAGCTCTCAGGAGGCAGAAGCAGGCAGATCTCTGTGAGTTCAAGGCCAGCCTGGTCTACAGAGTGAGTTCCATGACAGCCAGGGCTTCACAGGACCCTGTATCAAAAATGAAACAAAAACAACAACAAAAAAGAAGGTGGTGGCAGGAGGATCAAGAGTTCAAGATCAGGCCGGGCGTTGGTGGCTCACGCCTTTAATCCCAGCACTCGGGAGGCAGAGGCAGGCGGATCTCTGTGAGTTTGAGGCTGGGCTGGACCGACAGCCTCCAAAACAATACAGAGAAACCCTGTCTTGAAAAAAAAAAAAAAAAAAAAAAAAAAAAGAGTTCAAGATCAGGCACAGACCAGCCTGATCATGACCAGCCTGGGTTACTAGACACTATCTCAAAACCATCAACAACAAAACAAAACAAAACTTCCCCAAAATCCAAATGACAAACTCTCCCAAAAACTCATTACAATCCTTGGTCAGCAGCATATAAGAAACCTAGTTTTCAACTTTTTGTTTTGTTTTTTTGAGACAAGGTTTCTCTGTATTGTTTTGGAGGCTGCCCTGGAACTCACTCTATAGTCCAGGCTGGCCTCGAACTCACAGAGATCCGCCTGCCTCTGCCTCCCGAGTGCTGGGATTAAAGGTGTGCGCCAGCACCGCCTGGCAATTTTTATTTTTTTAAAGACAAGCCTTGCTAGATAATTGGTCCCAGCCTCCAGTTTCAGCCTTCTTGGTGGATAACAAGCCTATACTACTCTCTGGACTTCATCTCCTGCTGCTTCTATTCCTGGCTATTCCAGGGTCCAAAACTATACACGATCCAAAACCTCATTAGAAAGATTTGACTGATCGTCTGATCAACACTGCAGATGCATGGGCCACACTCAGGGACTCGCGCTCCAAGTCTGTCACAGCTGGCGGGCAGACTACACAGTTAGCAAAGCGAGTGGCTAGGAAAGGCAGACCAAGGACAGGCATGCTGTCCCAGGATGAACTTGGCCCCAGTAGCACCACCCTATGTCACCACTGTGGAGCAGAATATGGGTAATAGTGACAGACCTCAGGAGAGCTAATTACTTACTCTTCTGCTGTTACATCCCCAGGGCACCTTCCGCAAAGGTCACACTCGAGATAAATATGGACACAGGAAGATACTCCTCATACTCAAGGGCTTTGTTTTCTCGATGGCACATGACAGAGGTGGTGTGAAACAGGCCTGAGAGAAACGGGGGACACACCACCACCACAGCCATGCTGGGGACCAAACCTAGCGCCTCCTGCCTGCTAGCATTCTCTCCCTGAGCTAGGGACGTCCCCGTCTGCTGGATCGCCGATCAAGTCTCACCTTTGGCTTGGGGTAACACAGAAAGACAAGATTCATGCAAGCCTCCCAAATTAATCTTTTTGGCAGCAGACAACCAGTGATATTGCACGGTTCAAAGGTTACAGAGGAAGTGCTGCCCCATGGTATAAACGTGTGGCAGGGGACAAGACAAAACTTGCTCCTGGCTTCTGGATAAAACCAGAGCATTTGTTCTGGGAGTTGACATCTGGAAGGCAACTTCTAGGAGCAAGCAGGCACCCAGGGGGCTCTGGAAAGCACGTAAATTTCTGGTCTCCGGGTATCTATCCTGGGGTCTCTTTCTTGGCCAGGAAAGAGCTTCTTTTTCTGGACCATAGGAGAGGGATATGTTGATGACAGGCCAGGCCAACAGAATGCCACTAGAGGTAGTCAATTCAATCCAAGACCAATAGTTCAAAGGTTAAAAAGGCAAGTGTCTTGGGCTTGTTCCCCTTGCCTCCTTTTCTCCGATTAAATACGAAAACCGACGAAGACGAAGATGAGGAAAAGGAGGACAAAGAAAGTGGCATCTCGGGTCTCGTCCCACCGGAGCCCCTTGTTGTCCCGGCTCTCCTGCTTTTTGCGAAGGGCCTCCCTGCGGGCGCGCAGACGCCGCTCTCTCTCTAGCTGCTCTCCGTAGTGCGCCTGGTAGAAGGCGTCGAAGTCGAACATGGTGCGCCGGTCGCCGGGGGAGGCCCGGAAGCCATCGTGAGCTCCGGGGGCACAGCGGGGAGGGCGGGGAGGGGTGGGGTCGGCCGGGGGTGTCCTCGAGGGCCTGACACCGGGTCCGCGTAGGTCCTGGTCGGTGAGCAGGCCTCGGTCATACTTGCGACGGAGGACGGTGCTGCCCAGGACCAGGTAAGCTTCGGAGATGCGCGTGAAGCGCTCGGCGGCCTCGGTGCTCCCGGGATTGCGATCGGGATGGTAGAGGAAGCTCTGCCGGTAGTACGCCGCCTTGATCTGTGCCTGCGTGGCCGTGGAAGGGACGCCCAGCAGCTCATAGAGGGCGGTGCGGGAGTAAGCCCTCCCTGGCGAGCACAAGCCCGCGGCGGAATTTTGTGGGAGCCCCCCGGCCCGCCACAGTCTCCGCAGCGGTGACAGCGGCCAGCCCAGGCAGCGCGCGGCCGCCATGTTGTGGCTCGGGCAGGGGGGCGGGACTGGGCGGAGCAGAGCCGGCCAATGGAAATCGCGGGTCGTCAGGGGCGTCTCCACCTTGTAGCCAATCAAAAGAAAGAAAGGCGGGGACAGTTCGGAGCGTGAGTTCGACGGGGGGAGGGCTTGTCGCAGATTGGTGACGTCAAGCACTGCGCCGGGGCTTGCCGGCACCAGCGTGCTGCAGCGGTGCCCCAGAGATGGCGTCTCGCAGCCGCAGACCCGAGCACAGCGGGCCGCCAGAGCTGGTAGGAGCCTTGTCAGGTCTCGGTCTCCTTCTATAATGCCTGTTTTTGGGTTCTCTCCCTCACACCCCGTGTATCTTTCTTTTCCCAACAGTTTTATGACCAGAATGAAGCCCGGAAATACGTTCGCAAGTGAGGAAACCGCGGCTGTTGAGTGGCATCGGGGGTCGGGGTCGGCGTGTCGCCCGTGTTCTGGGCGCCGCGGGGAGAGCTTGTTGGATTTGGGAGTGAGGGGGCGGGGAATGCAGTTCTGCCGCCGGTGAAGTGAACTTTGAACCGTCGAACTCCTGGAGGGATCTTGGTACCTTGGTTCCAGCGTGGGTGGGCGTATTCATCTCCGGTTTACACCAGGTCATTTGACAAAGTGTTTAAAATAGATGGTAGTCAGTAGTTAGAGAAGGGTGCTGTCATACTGTAGGCTCTGTCGCTGGGCCACACCCCCAGTCCCTCACTTGGGCCACACACCCAGAAAGGAATCAGTATTAGTAGGTGGCAGGGCTTATTGTGATCCTTATTTAAATGCACGATTGCTCTAACTTGTCATGGCAACCATTGACAGAAACATTGTGCCTGCTGTGTGTTGGAGGTGACTGAATTCCTGACCCTCCCGTCTCCACTCCCAAGTGCTAAAATTGCAGGCATGGTCCAGCATGTAAGGCTTTATGAAAACTGTTGTGTGCGATTATTTACTTTGATTCTGGACAGACCAGGTGTAGAACTATTCTGTTTAGTATGGCAGTCAGTAGCTAGCTATTAAAATTCTGTAAGTTTGAATTACTTAATGTGGAGAGATGGAAGAAAAAAGACACTCACAATTTTTTGCTGATTATAATATGAAATAACACTGAGTATATTGACCTAAAATACTTATATATGGGGTTAAGTAAATTGATTACAGTTTACTTGTCCTATATTTTTTGAGATATGTTCACTTTATGTAGCCCAGGCTGGACTTATTTGTGGTGACTGACCCTCCTGCCTCAGCCTTCTGCATGCTGAGATTACAGGCTTGTCCTACTGTGCTCTGTTCTTCTGCTTACTGTCTTTCCCACCTCCACCTTCCTTTAGAGACAGGCTCTCTGGGTAACCCTGGCTGGCCTTAGCTCACAGAGGTATGCCTGCCTCTGCCGTTCAGATTCTGGTTCTGTGGAGGCGTGCCCCACCACACCTGGTGCCTGCATTATATTCCTCATGGTCATCGGCGCTGTGAGGGTTTTGTTTTCAGGTCCTGGGGATGGGATGTGTGGCCTGGTACCCACTTTTTACTACCGAGGTGGCTAGTTTTGTTTTTGGAGGTGCTGGGTGTGGAACTCAGGTTCTCCTGTATGTTGGCAAGTACTCCACCACTGAGACGTGTCCCTAACACTTGTTGTACATTTTTGATCCTTATAGGTGGGAGTGAGTGTGTCAAATGAGTCTTTGAGAGGGAATATTCCTAAGGAATAAAGCATCGAAGTCCAATAGAATTGTAGGTCATCACTGACTGGCTGTTTGCTGAGTGACCTGACTGTTTCTGTGAGCTTTGCAGCCGGTGCACTTAAATGTGTACACAGTAGAATGACTTTTGGGATTACTTTGGTGATGTTTTGAGGCAGGATCTTGTCCAGACTGGACTTAAACTCTTCGTCTTGTCTCAGCCTTTTGAATGCTCAAATTTTGTGGGAACGTCCATGCCTATCATGGAACTACTTTTAATGGCTGCATTAGAGTTTGTTGGTTTCAGGTTAGAATCGTAAGTTTAAAATGTTGGGCAAGGGGCTGGTGAGATAGCTTGGGGGGGTCATCACCAAGCTTCAGGACTGAATTCGATCCCCAGAACCCACATGTTAGAAGAAGAGAACCAAATTGAGCAAGTTGGCCTCTGACCTCCACATGCAGACAGACAGACAGACAGACAGACAGACAGACAGACAGACAGAGTCACACACACACACACACACACACAATGAAATAAATAATTTTTTTTCCAGACAGTGTAGCCCTGGCTATCTTGGAACTCACTCTGTAGACCAGGCTGGCCTTGAACTCACAGAGATCCACCTGTCTCTGCCTCCCGAGTGCTGGGATTAAAGGCGTGTGCCACAGCCATCCACCAAATAAAAAAATTTTTTAAGTTAAAAAAAAAAGTACTTTTAGTTGATTGTTCCTTTTTAAAAATTCTCCTAACTCTTTTGATCTAGGAGAAACATGACCTAGAATCCTATAACTGCTCCTATGTTTTTCTGGTTCCCAGCTCACGAATGATTGACATTCAGACCAAGATGACTGAGCGAGCATTGGAGCTCCTCTGTTTGCCAGAGGGTCAGCCCTCTTTTCTGTTGGACATTGGGTGAGGTCTGATTGCCCTGGTGGGGTGGAGGGTGTTTATTATTCATCTATGTGACCCCCGTGGATTGTTTCTTCCAGCTGCGGTTCTGGACTGAGTGGAGACTTTATCTCAGAAGAGGGGCACTATTGGGTGGGCATTGACATCAGCCCTGCCATGCTGGGTAAGTGTGCTCTGTCCTGTGCCAGGGTGACTGTCCTCTTGATTATAGAGCAGCTAAATTGGATTTTTGGTTGAGATCAGGTCTTGCTGTAGAGCCAGGCCCCAACTTGGGATGCCCCTCTACCTCAGACTTCCTGCTGTTACAATCACCGGCCCACTCACCACGCCTGTATGCAGCGGTGGTACCCATACTCTCCTTTACTTCGATGTAGATGCTGCCTTGGACCGAGACACAGAGGGAGACCTGCTGCTCGGGGACATGGGCCAGGGAGTCCCTTTCAGACCGGGTTCTTTTGATGGCTGCATTAGGTAAGGGCCTTCACTTCCCTTCCTACTTTTAATTTCATTGACCAGGGTTTCCTAAACCCAGCTGTGCAGCAGTCATACATGGTATTTAGAAGTTTTTTTAGCAGTCTTTGTCTTTTGCCTGTGAGCTGGCCCAGTGATCACAGGTGTTTACCAAGCCTAAGTCTGACATAGAGTACGCATGGTGGAGAAGAAGAAGGCTCTTGAAGAAGGGTCTGTCCTCTGTGTACGAGGCAGGGTGATACAGAGTTAATAAATGCAGTTAGACAAATGCACATGTCCTAAGATTTTTGAGATTTACAAAGACAAAGACTGCTAAAAAAATAGTTGTGGCCGGGTGGTGGTGGCGCACGCCTTTAATCCCAGCACTTGGGAGGCAGAGGCAGGCGGATCTGTGAGTTCGAGGCCGGGCTGGACCGATAGCATCCGAAACAATACAGAGAAACCCTGTCTCGTGAAAACAAACAAACAAACAAAAAATAGTTGTGTGTGTACACGTTCTTTTTCTTTTCTTTTTGTTTTTGTTTTTTGAGACAGGGTTTCTCTGTGTAACTTTGGAGCCTGTCCTGGCACTTGCTCTGTAGCCCAGGCTGGCCTCTACTTTACAGAGATCGTCCTGCCTCTGCCTTCCGAGTGCTGCGGTCAAAGGTGTTTGCCACTGCCCAGGCGTGTGTGCACATTCTTATGTAAGTGGAGGCCAGAGAGCAACCTTAGGTGTTGTCTTCAGACATTATCTAACTTTTGTTTCAGACAATCTTTCATTGGCTTGGAACATTGTCACACAGGCCAGACTAGCTGTCCAATGAGCTTCCAGGCATCTTCCTGGCTCTGAATCCCATTCCCCCATTGCTGGGATGATAGACATACTGACCCTATAATTATTTCCCCAGGCAGTGGTGGCACACCGCTTTAATCCCAGCACTTGGGAGGCAGAAGCATGTAGATCTCTGAGTTCAAGGCCAGCCTGGTCTACAGAGCAAGTTCCAGGGTGTCCAGGACTACATACTCAGAGAAACCCTGTGTTGAAAACTAAGTTTATTTTATTTTATGTGTGTGTTGGCCTGTGTGTATGTACCACATGCATGTCTGGTCCCCTGGGGTGGCTAGAGGACAGTGTCCAATCTCCTGGAACTGCAGATGATTGGGAGTTGCTGTGTGGCTGCTGGGAACTGAACCTGTGTCTTCTGCAAGAGCAGCCAGCGCTCTACATCTCTGATCGGTCTCTCCAGCCCCGGACTTTAACAACTAGCTTTGGGGCATTGAAATTACTGTAAGGAATATGCAAAGTGGCCGCACATGGTTGTAACCCCAGCTCTAGGCAGGCAGGAGGATCAGTTCACTCATCCTCTGCCACGTGAGATCCTGGCTCAAAGTTAAATGATAATATTAAAGAAATATGAGCCGGGCGGTGGTGGCGCACGCCTTTAATCCCAGCACTTGGGAGGCAGAGGCAGGCGGATCTGTGTGAGTTCGAGGCCATGCTTGACCGACAGCCTCCGAAACAATACAGAGAAACCCTGTCTCGTAAAAACCAAAAAAAAAAAGAAAAAGAAATATGGAGCATTTGGGATTTTTGTACGTATATGTGTATGATTTTTTCTGTTCCGGATCTCACCAGGTAGCCCTGTCTGGCTGGGAAGTCCCTATGTAGATCATAGAAGTGTTTCTGTTTTGTGATCAGACTGAAGGCCTTGCTCATGCCAGGCCTGTAATGCGGCATTCTCTGGCTGGGTGTGCAAAGCAGTGAGGAGGTGTGGGCCAGAAGTCAGGAGTGTAACTTCAGGAGGTGTGAGATCTGATGTGTGTGTGTGCATGTGCACGCACGCACGCGAAGAGCCTTGATAGACGCAGCAGAAGCGTGTAAAAGGACAGATGAGTGGCTGGGTAGAAAGCGCTGTCCAGTGGGTTTACTTTGCTGGGAGAGAGTGAAGGGTGGTAGGCAGCAGTGGCCTTGGCTCCTGGAGGTCCACATGGACG